GTATGAAATTACTGGATATATTTAGGCCGCTCTTGGTGCATGATAGCAATCATCATTCTGTCTTTCTCCGCCATATCATTCCTTTAAGTTACGGTGCATGTTGGCGCATGTAGTAGAGCTAACGTAATCATAGCAATGGATTACGATAAGAAGGAGTAGGATGCCCGTATTCTACTTTCCAGCTTATCGCAGCACACAGTTTTTGAGAGCTCTTGATAAAAATTTTGCTATGAAAAAGATCTGTTTATCGTAAGATATGCAGTGAAAAATTTGAAAATGTCAATCTTCGATCTAGATTTTTGCCCCCAAAAACTTTTGCTAGCTAAACGAGATCTTTGTAGTGTCACCATTTAAGCTGCATTGAACACAGAAGTTTGAACATAAAATAACGCTAATGGTGCAATTCAAGTTTAAACGCAAGTTCAACATTCTACTTACTGTAATCTTTGCTATATCTGTGTTTGTTGCTGACTTTTACCTGATCATATGTAACTTCTTCCCTTTCTTTACGCCTTTTTGAGTTTTTCTGGTTGTTATAGTGTTTAGCTGTCAATTTCATATGCTAGATTATCTAGGCCTGTTTGTTCGCACGAACTGGCTAAGCAGTTTCGCAAACATCGTAGAACCCCCGCTTTCTTGCATCAGTCCAAATTTTATTACTAGTAGACTCATCAAGCGAAAATATTGGGAAATCTGAAGTTGTGGTTTTTGAAATAGTGCTTGAACATAGTATTGAAATAAAAAGAAAACTATATTTTATACGCTAACCTCGTCTAAATATGAAGTAACTAGGCAAAAATGATGTTTGGCGTTATTATCTCAAAGTACTAATTTACAATGAGGATGTGTGTAACATCTAGTCTGCCAAGATTTTTCTCAATGTGGCTTCTTGGACTACTAATATCAATAAGTTTTCGCATCATTGAAGTGGATATATCTATATATTCAATGAGAAGTCTACTCCACGCTTTTTGCCCAAACTAAATCAGGAGAGGACGCTTATTGCAATCAGAAGAGAAGATGGGAGAGAAGTGAATATGCCAAAGTTTTGAGATACTAAGTGATCCGGCGTTTGCAGTTGAGCTGCCCTATTCCAGCAAAACGGGTCACTCTTGAAAAGAAAATTGCTTTTTTTTCATATCAATCTAAATTTGAGTAATTGAGAGAAATGTTTGCTTAGTTTTGCTTGGAGTCCCCGAATTATTGTATTGGTAAATGCTAATTTTATTGTTTTTTCAATAACCCAGCCAAGGTTTAGATCAAATTAGCTTCAAAATCTATTTGATGCCACCTTATCTGATCTGTGCATTATTACAGTTATGGGAAGGGAATAAAAATTGCTATTAATTTTTTCCTCTGCCCCTTTTTCCTTCCTTCTTCAATGCGACACTTGTTTGCGACTGTCAGTCATGATGAAATGTTGTTTGTGTATTTTTCAATTCTTGAATTTCTTGCTATAGAGGAAAGAAAATGCTGTTTCCGGTCTGCTCCATGAACAGTTGTTACGTTATTGTTATTCCAGTTTCCTTGTGGTTTGGTATTTATTTGATGGAGCCGCTCTTCAAATGCCTATAATTTTCTAGCATCATTTTCGAACCAGATGCGGCAGTATGAGCTAACGTCATGATTACCTTGAAACCCGTTTGTTTCACATAATCTAACAATGACGACTGGTAAGGAGGATGTAGAAGCGACGCTCGTTGACTATTTTGTAATAGCTGGCTACGATCCCGATGTCGGGCTTGTGGTGAGCTTTCAATGATGTTGTTTTTACATGTTTGAAGTATTTTTTCTCATTTGATTAAATATTTCACAAGTAATATATGTGCAATGTACAGTTTACAGTTCGGATTTTGTTTAGTCCGTTTATTAAACATCCGAACTGTAAACTGTACATATTATTATCTTTATTGTACAAAGGTTATGGTTAGTGCCCTGAAGTTTGATCTATATATCATCGCTATGACGAACGCAGGAATTCATCTAAAAGCCTTACCATATCTGCGATATGTTGAAAAATAGTATCACTACTAGCAGCTTCAAACCTGTTCTGATATGTCAGTTGAATTTACTCTTGAATTTTGAATGTATATTTAGATCGATACAACCTGTGATGACTTTGCATGGGAGGAAGAAAACGGGTTAAAATCTCCAAAATCAAAAGATCGACGGCCACCTTTACAACGTTCTTTCGTTGCAAAAATCCTGCATCATTTCCCTCAAAAGCGACCAGGCGCACCTTTTTCGGACGAAGTGTTATCGGTATGATACGCTTGTTGTAACGGATTTCTGTATTTTTCAATAGATAACATTGCATATTCAGTTGGTGCAGCATCTTAGCAATCGTTTTAGTTATGCATGCCCAAAGGACTTCGTTTTTTCACAGAAAAAGATGTTCCATTGAACATCTCCTTGCATACCTTCGCTAATATTCGAGAAGATGGTAGTCGAATCAACGGAACCGTCATGACCTTTTATGAGGTTAGTTTATTGTTTGTTCATGTGTTTCGGGACACTTTTATGGCTGATAGTGGCCTTCTCTATCGGCCGATTCGTGTCAATTTGCAACATTGCCGAAACAAAGAGCAAGAAATAAAATGATGCGATAAGGGTGACGTTCTTTGCTCATTTGTTACTAATTACTTCTGGTTGCTAATAATTTAACGAAGTAGATTGTTAGCGTTGTGTTAGTGGAATCTTTATAAAGACTTTGATTTTGAATTAGCTGAGATTATTTACTGGACTTGTGCATCGGCTGTTTGAGTATCCCTTATCGTGATTAAAATTTTTCTGACCTAAGAAAGTTTTCAATTATGTGAAAACAATTTCCAATCGTTCGTTCAATTAGTGTATATCAGATATGCGCATTGTGCTCTGACATGAGAGGATCTCCTTCCTTACTAAGTGTTTAATAGTTATTTTATTCCTAAAAGTTTCTTTTTCCTTGATATGATTTGGTTATTATCTGATTCTTTTTGCTGAAACGGTGTGCTTTCAACTTGATACGTTAGTGTGTGCATTCTTTTTTTGTTGGGTTTTGAAGCATTCGAAGAATCACATACTCAACCAAATCTAATATGGTCTTTGCTGAGGAAACGTCTCAGAGTTCCGTGACAGCTCTTTGAAGGAGTTCACTTAGAGCAATTACCGCGTGGGATAACGCTTACTATACTGTCTTGTAAGGTTGCTTATCTCTAAGGAGGTCCGAGATCCACGAATATGTGAGGCCATGGCGTTACTTCACACTGAACATGTGCGTAAACTAACTGCTGGTGAGCCACCGCTGGACCGTGAAAGACATCATGTACCTCCAGGAACTGTATCCGGTAAGTTGAATCAATAGCAAGCTACAGTGGGAGCAATTAGTTGTGGTTTCCTTTTGACTCTTTATAGATTTATAGCAGGAAGTGTTTTCAATTTCCCTTTTTTGCCTTTTTTTTT